TTCAAAAATTTACTATTCCTTCAAATGTATTTACTTAATATAATTTTGATAATTTTGTTTAGATTACCCAGGGAGATACTCAAATTTTTAAGTCCTATCAGTATATCTTCAGCCTGCAGAAGTGTGGTAATTTAGATGGCTTTTAGATTACAGGGGTGGATTTCTAGCTGGAAACTGTTTTTGTAATCTTGCTTTAAATGAAATATTCTATAACCAAAGAGGATTTTACAGTACAACTAACGGTTAACACTAATACTGGATCATGCTACTCAGAGACTCACTTTATCACGGTGATCGAGAGACAAAAGTTAGATTTTTTTACTCAAAAAAACTTAATGCAAGTATTGTATGTGCTAGTGTATCTCTGTGGGGGTGGAGAGGGAGCAAGCTCAGGAGTTTGAAATTCCAGCAGGCACCGGCTGTGTGAGCACAACTGGAAAACAGCTGGAAAAACGCTCCACCCGTGCTGGGTTTTGCTGAGGATGGTGTTTGGAGCTGGGCTCGGCGGTGCCCCGGGGATGTGATGCTGCTTTTCCTGGGCTGCCCCGGAGCCCTCTGGGCATTTCCCAAAAAATTTCCTTAGAAACCCTGGTGGCACCGCTCCCTCGGAGGGGCTCCGCTGCTGCCGGGGAGCTCCCGGGGCCGATCCCTGCGGAAACCTCCCCCGGTGTGCTTGTAATGCCTGGTTACAAATTACTAATGTGTTTTGCTGCGGGACACTAATAAAGTTGCTTTTCCCAGCTGGTTCATTGTGGTGCTGTGAATGGAGCGGGGCCCAGCCCGCCCCTCGCCCCCCCCTCGCCATTCAGATGCAAATCAGCTTTGTGCTCATTCCTCATAATTGCTCTGCATCCCGCCTTGGGCTTCCAGAGGCACCCAGGAAATCGTGTTTGCTCAGGCTGCAATTTAGACTGTACATTATTTGTGATAACTATAGCTACAAGGTATAATTTCGCTGTCTTATTTAAATTTTATGAATTTCGGTGTGTTTCACACATCCCAGTCGAGTCGGGTGCAGGGAAGCGGTGCCTGTTCCTGTGGAGCTGGAAAAGCCTGGGCTGCAGTCAATGTCTAAAGTGCAGCTCCATTTTAGAGCTGAGCCTTGGCACTGAAATGCTATAATTTTATTTATCTCAATCAGCTCATAATTTACTGTATTAAGGTTATTGCTGTTGTGTTACTGTAATGCTGGTCAGAATTAAGCTAAATAGTTTTTTGAGATATTTTTGCCAAATGTATTATGTTTTCAAGCATTTTGGCCTCTTGAGTACTGCTATTAACCAGTGGAATTATAGGCTATTTTCATATAGCCTTAACATGTAAACAGGCTCAGGGGGGGAGCTGTGCTCCACTGCCATTTGGGGGTTAACAGCCTGTAGGTCTTCTTTTAGAGATAATTATTAACTGAATTTATACAATATGGGTTTTTTTTTTCTCCTGGTATTGTCTTAAAGGTGACATTCCCTAGGCTGTTTGGGGAGTACAGCCAATGACTCCCCCCCAATACAATCTATTAATAAGCTTAAAAAAAATACCTCTATTAAGATGTACAGACAAATTTACATGTATTTAGCTTTTAAATACATGTTAGTTTAATTTATGCTACAAACATTGAGCATCAAGAAATTAAGATGGTGAGAGCTACAGCCCCAGGGGGTGTGAGAGCAGCAGGAACACGATGGGGACAGGAGGCCAAAAAAACCTCAACTCACATTTCTTTTGTACCCAAGAGTTGCTCCTCTGGGACTCGTGTTTGGGTTTGGAGCAGAGAAGGGCATCGAGATGAATCGTTTTTGGTGTAACATTTAATTGTTCCCTTCAGGAGTGCAGCAGCAGCGGCTGGAGGGGAGAAAACGCCTCTCCCCTCAGCAGAGATGGGATTTTGTGTGGTGAAACCCCAGTTCCAGCAGTTGATGGTGGAGCCACCGGGGCTGGGGAGATCCTGGGGCCGGGGCAGGGCGGCTCCTCATCCTGGAGCGACCCTGCCCTGGCTCCAGCCCCGGCTTCTGCTCCAGCCCCGGCTTCTGCTCCAGCCCCTGCTCCATCCCCAGCTCCATCCCTGGCTCCTGTCCCTGCTCCATCCCCAGCTCCATCCCTGGCTCCTGTCCCTGCTCCATCCCCAGCTCCATCCCTGGCTCCTGTCCCTGCTCCATCCCCAGCCCCAGCTCCATCCCCAG